CATGTTGTATATTGAAAGGGGACGGAAAGACCCAAAGATCCTTTGGAAAATTAATTTGGGGAAGGAATGGAAGCAGATTAGACAATATCCCCTGACTTTCCTGTCATTTATATACAGAACACAGATAAAGAAAGAAAGTCATGTCGGTGACCTCCTAGATTATTCTGTGGGAAAATCTAGGGCACTTTGTAATACACATTTGTCTTTCTTTTACTATTGCTGGCATGTGTCACAAGCTAAAGCAACCGCCCTGGTTAAAAAAGGCCAGATGTTAACTCCAGGTTTCTAAAGTCTGGATTTCAAATTTTATCTAGAAAATTACTATACTTCTATCATCTTAAAAAGTTTTCTAGCTATGGGACTATAATCAGAAAATAATAAAGGTCCCGGGAATTCTGACATTACAGCTATAATTCAAAAGGGGAAAAAAATCACCACTGTTGCCCCCCACACTAATTTCTACCTATGGGAATATAAGCAGAAATAAAGGTCCTGGGAATTCTGACATTACAGCTATAATTCAAAAGGGAAAAAAACCACCACTGTTGACCCCTACACTAATTTTATTACTGAAAGCACCAATATCCAGAAACAAAGTTTGGTAAAAGACACACACATACCAAATAAGCAAAAGTCTTACTGGTGATAATTTAGAGAAAGGTTATAAAAGCAACTTCAGTGTAAAAAAGAACCACCTTTTCCTACTATTAAAGTAGTAACTTTGAATGCCTAGTACACTTAGAAAAAACTTCAAACAAAACAAACAAGCTTCAACAATGGAAAAAGAGTAATTCAAGTGACAAGAAACTGATTTTTTTTCCTTTGTCATTAACAAAGAGCAAATATTGAAATCCTGTAACAGAATTGACCCCAAGGACTAGTCTTATCTTCCAGTCACTCTATGCTGTCACCCCAATCAGGCCTCCTCTCATATTGAGCCCTCAGCCCAGCAGACCCTGCATGGGGGGCTTCACTGATAGGCAACTTTTAATTGTTACTTAATACATTATCAGAAGCACAGGTAAACACCTCATCTGGTGCAGCCGTGGCTCTGGTGGTCTCAGACTAGCCCACTCCTCTAGTGTGCTTGGCCATGAAACGGAATAATCACTGGGCTCTGAGGTCATATAGGGCAATTACTTGGCCCAGTGCCTGAATCACAGTGGGTGATTATTCTTAAACAGAATCATGAATGCACAAGGAGACATCATACAACTGACTTTGTCACCTTAAATCTATTCTGATAATTACTATTTCCTAATCACCCTCATTGAAAATAAAAAACTTTCTGATAACAATTAATGCACTCTTCTTCAAATCTAACCTTTTCAGTGCAAAACTGTATCATGGGTTCGCTGATTGCAGAGTAGAAGGACAAAGTGACATAAAGGGACAGCAGGAGGAAATTGGGCAAGAGTTGGTAGGTGGGAGGTAGAGGTATAGATGATATGCCTGTCCATATCCTGATTTCATTGGTGGTTATATGACTCAACACATTAGTCAAAACTCAGGGAACTATACCAAAAGAGTGTGATTTTCATGACGTATCAATTTAAAATATTTTTATTACAAAATAATCTTATCTAGAAAACAAATCAAAACAATGGCATAAATGAACTTTTATAACCAAGATATTGTAACCGCTATATTCTGTACTACCCCATAGTTAAACATAAATCTAATCAACTATAACCAGCTCTGATTTATTCAATATGCCAGTGCTGTTTTGTTTTTTTTTAAAGGGGAGGGGGCAGTGCTTTTCTATAACAGAAATAGCAATGCACAAAATTTAAGTGGTACTGTCCATCTGCCAGCAAAAGGAAGCTCTTGGTCATCTCTGGCTTGGCTCTGTAAATCCTATCTAATCAGTAGATTTCTAAGGAACATGAATTATTGCCCTCAATCTACAAAAAGTAATATATTAATATTAGATTTTAAAGATTTAAGGAAGCATAAACAATTAGACAAATACATGTCAAGAGATAACAATCCTGGTGGTACAATCCTATAACCCCAGCCATTCCAGAGACTAAGACAGAGGGTTCCAAGCCTTGGCAACTTAGCAAGACTCTGTCTCAAAAATAAAAGAGGAGGGACTAGGGTTACAGCTCAGAGGCAGAGCACTTGCGTAGCATTTACAAGGTTCAACTGTGAGTACTGAATTTTATTTTATTTTTTTTAACCTTGGTCTTGGGGATTAGATTCAGGACCACATGCGTGTTAGTCAAGAACTCTTCCTACCACTGAGCTACATTTCTAGCCTCACATTTTCTATTTAAAAAATGTTGTGATTCATTCATAATTAAGTCATAAACTACACATCTACAAGGTAAAATCCCAACACAAACAAGTTTAACCACTGTTATTATTTGGTTTCACATAAAAGGCACTAACTTGACTTTCTTTTTTCCCATTCAAATAAGCTGGAGAAAAACGAACCGATTTGAAAGCAAGCACACTGAAAATAAGAACCATGGTGCGTGGGGAGGGGGGAATCGTAGCATCATGAAAAATGTTTAAGTCATTTGTTTTTCTCTCAAATGCCTTAATTCCACTCAGATCAATGTCTGTCCATAACTGGTCTGGAGTCTGGTTTGAATGCTTTTCAGGTGACTGCCCTGTGTAGGCAAGGTTGAGAACCTTTGATTTTCATTTTTCATTAAAGGAAAGCTCCAAAGAAAGTCAGATCCTACAAAAAGCTACTGTAAGCCACAGCCTAAGATTTCCAAGCCGATATTATTAAGCTACTGCTCAGAGGCAAATTTAATCATTCAAAGTGAAAGTATGTATTCTGGATACGAGGAAGTGAGAAGCTTTCCACAATGCCAATTAATTAGTGGGACGTTAGGATGAACAAACTACATTCTGGACATCTTAGCACAAGTTACGTGAAAGTATAATGAATTCCCATTCTGCTTTCGACTTTTTAGAATGCTACACTGGAATCATGACATCAAGTCAATGAACTAAAAACACAGGAAAACAGGCCAAATCGCCACTGCCCTTAAGACCTGCAGTAAGCTTATAATACAATGTCAATCTAGTTAAGAAACACACGCTGGGGGTTGGAGAGATGGCTCAGCCAGTGGTTAAGAACACTGAGTGTTCTTACAGAAGACCTGGGTTCGAATTCCAGCACCCACCTGGTACCTAACAACTATCGGTAACTCCAGTTCCAGGGGATTCGATAGTCTCTTCTGTTCTCCGTGGGCACTGCATGACATGGGTGCACTTACCTATATGCAAGCAATACATGCATACACATAAATTTGTGTGGTTTTTTTTTATATAAAACATGCTGGCAAAAAAGAAAGAAAAGAAGAAAGGAAGGAAGGAAGGAAGGAAGGAAGGAAGGAAGGAAGGAAGGAAGGAAGGAAGGAAGGAAGGAAGGAAAAAGAAGAAAGAAAGAAAGAAAGAAAGAAAGAAAGAAAGAAAGAAAGAAAGAAAGAAAGAAAGAAAGAAAGAAAGGGCTGTACTTTAAGGTGCACTATTAGCCAAATGGCTTACAAATATGGTTATATTTGGTATCCAAGAAACGGGAAGTGAGAACGTGGAGTTACTTGTCCAGCAATGCTAAGAACCATAGAACACTATGTTCCTAGCAGATGTCATGGAAATAGAATATGAGCTCCACGAAAGGGTTTTTGGTTTTGTTTTTAAGTTTACTGCTTAACTTTTATGACATAAAGCTAGTTAAGTATTCAATACATGTATTGGATTAATGAACGAATGGGAAGTATATGCAAATACAAACTACATCACATTCTAAAGTTTCCTGAGGACTATGTTTGCACCTGTAGATGCAGAAAGCCACGATTTGATACATCCATTGGCCTCCATTTTGTCGTATAGAAATGGTCTCAACATTTTCGCTTTAAGTTCAGGCTTCCTGCGCCCTGATGTTTTTAACAACTAATGGAGAGAGAAAGTAGAACGAAGAGAAAGATTCTGCAAAGTCTCAAAATTCAAAACAAAAACACACAAGGGGAGGGATAATGGGTAAACAGTCAGTGCAAGTGATATCTTAGGTTGCCAGAAGCATCGTGCTCTTACCTACGATGGTGGCGGGGGTGGGGTTCGGGCTTTTAAGTGTTTTGTTACTGTCCTGGGTCACTGGTAGAGTAGTGCCTGGCTGTGGAAACTCGACTTAAAAAGCAGCAGGACACCCAGCCAGGCTTCAGGTCTAGAGAGCCGCTTTCCTCCTAGCTCCCTTTTCCAGGTCCTCTCACCGCGCGCGCTGTTTAGAATGCAACTACCGCCCAAACACAAGATGACGTGAACCGCTTCATGTTGGACTGAAGCCAGAGCCAGGACCTAAGATGGCAGCGAAGCACTAGGTGACCACGGCGAGATGCTTCTGCCCAAAAGAAAGATGGCTCCCGCTAATGGCTTCGACAAAGGAACCAAAACAAAAATGGCGCTAGAAGCTGGCTATTTAGAGGCTGGTATGACTGGCAGATAACGAGCCAGTGTCATGTAGCTGTGATTGACAAAAAGGGTTGTTTCCGTGGTATTTTATATCAGAAAGCTAGTAAAAGTGGAAAATATATTTGATGAGGATCATAGGATAGGCTGAAAATTAAAGGTGACTTTCATGATGCCAGAAAGCAGCTCACTAAAAGTCATGCTTAAACATAAATTCTTCCATAAGCTGTGTAGTGGTCCGAGAATACAAGCAAGACTTGTTTCTGAGCTTATAAAAATGGAGAAAACAACGAAACCAATCGCGAAGGGCAACGAAAGGAGCCGGAGAACTCCGACCTCAGCGGAACCGCGCACAGGAAACCTCCGACAGAAGCTTCCGGAGGGCGACCAGCTCTTACTGCGCATGTCCGCCCTCAATCAAGCTCGGTCACCTTTGGGCTACCAACAAACCGGCTGCTCCAGGCGGCCTCCGAGGGGCGGGATTTGAGTGTTGAGCTTTAGGATTGGTCAGCGCAGGACCCGTAGCCCGCAGCGGTGACTTTCTCATTCGTTCCACACATGCCTATCAGGTGAGCACAAGGTAGCAAAGTCTGCGCTCTTTTGATATATAACTGCTATGCTTTTAAGTTTCAGCGGTTTACCAAAACCCTGACTGCCCCGCCCCTGACGTTTCCGGTGGGCGGCAGCTTTCGTTAGCTGAGGGTCCACGCCAACCCGGATGGGCTGACTGCGGAGCTGCGCATGTGCCGGCCTGCCTCGTCTTCGGACCCGCGGCGAGTGGTTCGGTCCCTGGGTGCTGCTGAGGCGGCCCGGCCGCCAAGTGAGTGGCTGGTGGGCAGGTGAGAACACCGGAGTCGCAGGTGAAGCCAGTTTGCGGTCCCCCTGAAGAGAGGGCTGGGCTTCTGCCTCTTCCCATGCGAAGGTCGCCCTTGGCAGAGGCCAAGGGTAATCGGAGGCGGAGAGATGGAGGAAGCTGGCCCCAGGGAGGCTGAAGGCCTACCTGCAGAGCAGCTGCCCGATGTGACTACCTGATGCTCAGTAGAACGAGTGTGGATGGCCAGCGGGTGTCCAGTAGCACAAGTGTGGAGCAGGTGTTCAGTAGGATGAGTGTGGATGGCCAGAGGGTGGCCAGCAAGTGTCCAATCGGACAAGTGTGGGGCAGGTGTCTAGTAGGACAAGTGTGGATGCCATCGGGTGTCCACTGTCAGGTGAAATTGGAATAGAGCAGCCTCAGTCCCTCCTGCACTGTGAAGTGTGTGGAAAAGGTCCCAAGGGAAAGAGGCCCATCATCACCTGTGACCTGCAACCGGGACCACCTCAGTCACTGCTTCATAGGGAGGGTGCAGAGACACAGACGCTGTCCGGAGGTGGGCTTCCCCCTGACCAGAAACTGCACAGTCGAGCTGCTGTGCATGGCCATGCCAACCATAAAGTAGAAACAGTACCAGGGCTTTTTACCATATTATGGAGACCCGAATACATCGAGATTAGGAGAGCCCCAGGGGTCCTCCTCCTAGGTGTTTCAAAGACAGATTTTTCATTAATACATTCATACTGTTTTGCCATGGTCACATGATGTATGTGACACCATACCAGCTTACACATCAGTGACCTAGAGAGGCTCCCAAATGGAGCTTGTATTCTACTGATGTGGGAAAACTTACAGTCAGAGATAGGTGGATTGGGGGCGGGGGGAGGGATGTAAGGTGCTCAGAGAAATGTTGTCAGAGTAGGAAACTCCCAAAGCTGAAGTGAGAACTGCAGCTAGACTTCCAGAGCCCATGATTGTCACTGCAAACAATATGAACAGCTTCAAAAATTGAATCTCTTAAGTTACAATTTATTTGGAGTGCTGACAGCTACTCTCCAGCAGCAGCAGATTCTGTAAGGTGGTGGCTACAAAGGCAGTTGTTACTCTGGAGCTCAGTGTGGCCCCTTTGGTCAGGTGGTCTGCCAACTTTTGATACCTGTGATGCCTGTGGATCTCCATTGTCATCCCTTGTACTTTTCCTTCCTTCCTGGGATATCTAGACATAGGTACTTCCTAGCACCCTGAGTCTAGTTAGTGTCTCCTGCTCAGCCCTGTGCACCTCCTCCAGGAGCCACCTTGCCTGGAGAGTTAACTCAGAATAAACAACCATTAACTCTGTGTGTGTGTGTGTGTGTGTGTGTGTGTGTGTGTGTGTGTGTTAGCTGTTAATAACATTATACAAATTCTATAGTACAGAACACAACCATGCCCCTGTAGAATGGTGACTACGGGACTGCCTCTCTACTCATCCGCCATCATAATGGGCCACCCTCTGTGGCCCAAGCCAGCAAGATTATCTAGTTCTTGTTATGAAGCAAGAATACAGTAGAGGAACAAAACAGGTAGCTGTTAACTAAGTTTTGTTAACTATTGACTCTGCTGTCACTAAAGAAGTAAAAATGGGTTGAGATTAATTCAGAGGAAATAGAGAAATACGGTTTTAGAAAATGAGCCAAGACTTTTATACTTTTTTTTTTCCTACACAGTATTTACTTGTGACTTATTAAGATTATCTCTAAGTTTGTCTTGTCTTAGAGGACAAGAATCATTCCTTACCTTGATAGATAGCAAGTGAGCATTCAAATAAAACTGATCTTATACATACCTGAAGTGAAAACTGGCATGATTACTAGAGATACAATTGTATTGGGGTCTGTATAGTAGTTCCTCATTTGTAAGCTATAACTAAATTTGGTCAAAATATAGGTATATAATTGCTCAAGCAGGAGTCTCTGGAGGTGTCTGTTTTATATATTATTTGTATCAGAGATCATACATTTCTACCAATAACTAATTTATTGAGCACTTACCACATGCTAGGTACGAATATGTACAATCATCTTCATAATGTGACACATATTACATATTATGAGAATGAGGCAGGAGACAGTTATCCCAAGATGACAATTATCCCAATTTGTGATGGAGGTTAACGTTGATTCTTCTGTTACTCAAAACCTTAGCTCTTGACTAACATTTCTGAAAATACAGACCAGGTGTCAGAACCTTCAGCCTAATCACTTAGCCATTCTTAATATTAACTGCTACCAGAGAAACATACATGACATTAACTCTGTGCTGCTTTTTTCTGTCTTAGAAGTTTTCATATTCCCTTCATAGTTCACTGGCCCTCACACTTGATGATTAACCACCTTACAACATCTTATTTCTGATTATAGTCACATACACCCCACCCAAACCACAGAAGGTTTTTCTTGAGAATCTAGATTTATTCTTGTCTAGCAGACTGCCCTGGGAAGCCTGACCTTAATGGCAACCAGTCCCCTTAGCCAGGGTCTTCATTCCAGTCCTCTCTTTTGCTTCCTACACTAGCTTAACCTCAGTAACTTTTTGAGAGGTGGAGGCAAGAGAATCAGGAGTTCGAGGTCATACTCATCCTCAGTTACATAATAAATTGGAGGCCAGCCTGGGCTACATATGATCCTGTTGCAAAAACTATCAGTGAAAAAATATGCCTCCCCCTTTCAAATTATGGAAGTAATAATAGCAGTCATGAGTCCAGACTAAGCTTCAGGTGTGTTAACTGCATGTTTTTTTGATGTGGAAGCCATTGTTACTCTTTGCCCATGATAAAACTGAGGTGGAGTGAGAATGACTCATTCTAGGCTGCATTGTCTACGGTAAAGAGGGAAAAATGGTGGTTCATAGCCCAGGCAGTGTGATCCCACAGCTCATTCCCTTAAATCACTGCCTGATGGTACAAGATTTACTCTCTCTGATAACTGCTGGGTAGAAACTAGAACCTAGATGGGCTTTTTATGCTATAATAGATTTAAATTTCACCCTCTAGTCAAAAAATAAAAAAAAAAAAAAGCTAAAGTCTTCTAAGCAAAGCAGAAACATGACTTTTTTAAATGAGTATTAGGAGTGTAGAGTACTGGAGTATCCTGGAACAGTGATTCTCAGACCAGCTCTAGGATGACCTGGAAATTTTATTAAATATTACTGCCCTGCAGTTTCTGATTCTGAAGTCAGGGGCAGCCTGAGAATTTACATGTCTACAAAGTTCCCAGATGACGACTAGTGGTGCTGTTGATAAAACCATAAAGCAAGAGAGTTTATTTAGGGCCGTGAGGATCAGGGCTGTCCTGTCAAATGGCAGGTAGTGATGACCGGCTTGAAGAATAAGGCCAACAGGGCAGATTCCACTATATCCAGATTTCTGAGTTGAATGGCTTAGTAAATAATGCTTGTTTTTAATTATGTGTATGTGGTGGAGGGTATGTGTACATCCCTGCAGGTGTCCAAAGTCCCGAAGAAGATGTCAGAACCCCTGGAGCTGGAGTTACAGGAGGTTGTGAGGTGTCTGTGTGAGTGCTAGGAACTGAACTTGGGTCCTCTGCAAGAACAGTACCAACTCTCAGCCTCTGAGCCATGTCTTCAGCCCCCTTTTTCTTTGTTTTTGTATCTTTGTTTCCCAAGCAAGATCCAGGTGGAACAACAGTCTGGGAAGGAAAAAGGATTTGTGTTTTTGTTACTGTTAACATGGTTTGGTTTGGTTTGGTTTTTTGACAGTCTCTTGTAGCCCAAGCTAGCCTGAATTCACTATGTAGCCAAGGGCAGCTTTATAACCCAGGTTTTCTTCACTCTCACAATGATTCTCATAAATCCTGAGTCTGAGATTACAGACTTTGTTTCCTTACAGGGAAGGAAAATAGTCACAGGCATTCAGAAGAGGAAGACCTTCAAGAATAATAGGTTGAAGATAAACGGTAGACAGTGTCAGAAGCCCAACAGCATGGGGACAAATGAGACAGGAACAGAAGTACCAGAAGCTGACAGGGATAGATTTTTTTCTTACAAGTGTGGACGGAAAGTTGAAGGTAGCTCTAGCCAATAGATTATCTGCAGAAACAAAGGTAAAATTTAAGTAAACATCTCAAAAATGGCAAAGGGTAGAAATTGGCTCTTTGGAGATTTACAGCAGAGTAGTGGCACATAAAATCCCTACTTCACATTGGAGGCCCAGTTTACTGGACATTTAATCCAGAACAGTCTGCCTGTCTGCATGAATCCCATTCCCTTCTGCCCCCACCAGCCCCAACATCAAATGGCAGGCAGGTATCCAATCAGTCAGAGGGAATGGAAAACTTCTCTAACCCACCACATCCTTCCTGGTAAGCCACAGATTTTTAGGCTGGTTGACGCTTCTCAGGCATGAGTCATTCATATTTTGGACTCTACAATTAGTGAAGCTCCCATACAAATTTTGTGGTGCTTTCAGTATTACTTATTTTTAATTATAAATACTTTAAATTCATAGTAAGGGTAAAGGAGGATAGCAAAGACCATAAAATACATATCTATTAGCCAGGCGTAGTGGCACACTCCTTTAATCCCAGCACTCAGGAGGCAGAGGCAGGGGGATCTTTATGAGTTCAAGGCCAGCGTGGTCTATATAGTGAGTTCCAGGACAGCTGGGGCTACAGGGAGACCCTATCTCAAAAAGACTGAAAAAAAAAAGCAATTAGGTCAAGCTGTCCTTAAATGGTGGGATGGTAGGATTTTACAGAATGGAACCTGTAGAACTCGGGTATGAACCATTGGTTCACCTTGAGTTGAAATATACTCTGTGTGTGTCTGTGTGTCTGTGTATTCCTAAGACTAGAAAAGTCTGACAGAACTGGTGCTCTTTTAGGCAGTATGTTTAGGAAAGTGGAAAGAAAGGAAAGCTGTTCTCTTTGCTGTGCCGGTCACTTTAAAAGGCATAGGTGTAATATGCATTCCTTTTCTATGTACATATTAATAAGATACCATGTAGTGTTTTGTGTGTGTGTGTGTGTATGTATATATATGGCATAATGATTA